TAATAAATATGTAGCTTAGGTTTTTTTTTGCAGTTATTGCTTTCTATGTTAGCCAACTTGGCCAGTTGTTTAAGTAATGTATTTGATATATATTATTTGATATAATTGTATAAACTGTTTTGACTAGTTTTGTAAAATGATTTTTGTCTGTGATGATTTAAATCCTTCTTCTTTCTGGTGTTATTATTAAACTAAGTATTAGGGTTATAATAACTGTTTTAGTTATTATGAACATTCTAATAATATTGTTTGAACTGCAGTTTTAGTAATAGAATAATATATATTATTATATCTTGTTGTATGTTATTGATTATTTGTTGTTTTTAACATAAGTTAAAAGATAATGTTTTTGTGTTGTTTGCATTTTGTTGTAGCTCTTGTAGGTAGTTAACTGTTTTGGATTTTTTATTACTTCTTCTATTAGCTTGTATTTTTTCTAAACATTGCTTTGATATTGTGTTTTTCTAGTTAAATCATCTGCTATCTGTTTTAAGTCTTGCATATTTGCTTATATGAATTTTTTACTGTTTACCAATACTTTTTGAAGATAATATAGTTTAATTTGCTTGTACATTTTTCTTTTTTAAGGTTGGTATTGTTTCATTAGCATCCTGTACATAACTTTAACTTAGTAGATATACTATTTATAATCCAATAATTGATTGTTGCTTAATTGTCTTTTATAGATAATATTTGTTTTATATATCTGTCTGATATATTCTTTTTTATTGCTTATGATGCTTTTTCAAGTGTCTGATGTAAGTTGAAGATAAATGAATTTGGAGTAATAAGGTTGTAGTTGTTGTTACTTAGATTTTGTTTTATATTTTCTGTTATAAGTTTGTACCATTTAGGTTTTCTTTTTTTTAGTATATGCAGTATTGTATATAAGATTTGTGTCTATGTTAGTATGCTTATATTTTTATAATTGATATATTGTTTGATAAAATGCAGTTCGATTTTGTTAAGTTTGGTCTTGACTTGATGTAGTTTGTTTATTTGCTGAAGTACTGTATTTATTAATGTGCCTTTGTGTTTTGCTAGTTTTGGTTAGTTGTTGTTGTTCAGAAATACTATTTCTGTTTTTGTATACTGTATTGCATTTTTGTTAATGAAGTTTTTAATTCTTTTTGTAGCAATATATATGTACTATTAGTTAGTATTACTTTTAGCAAATTTCAAATACTATTCAAATGCCTTTTTGTTATTTTCTAAAACACCTATTCTTTTTTGATAACAATATCCAACATTTAATTGTTTAGTAAAATTTTTATATTCTGTAAATTTCAAGTGCTATTCAAATGTTTTCTTTATATCTTCAGATGAACATATACTATCTTGATAACAACTATTAAAATTTTTATTAGCTTTATTAGTATTTTCATTTTTAGTATACTTTTCATCAGAATTACAAACTAAATTTGACTCATATTTCTGTTTTTTATATGAGATTGAAAAGTTTCTATTAAATGCTATTAACTCATTATAATGTTATTGACATAGCTAATTATCTAATTTGAGTTCTGTCTTTAAACTTAGAATAACTTGACTCTTTATAATTTTAGATAAAAGATCTGGCATCAGTTTGCAAAACTTTTCTTCAAATTATTCTTGTTACATATTATATATGAATCTTTATTTTTTCATAATAAACCTCTTAATATTGTTACTAGTAAAAATTACACCTATTTTAGGATCTAAAAAAATTATTTTAGGATCTTTGAAACCAAGGTCTTGTTAAATATAAATACAAAATTTCATATTGCAATATTGAAAAATAAAACTTGGAATTTTAAAAAAATAAGTATCACTTTTTATTATTATATTAAACAAATTAACCAATCAGAAAACAGATTTTTAATAATCACATGAAAATAAATCTGTCTATATATAGAGAGTTTACAGACACATACCAATTATATGATATTTCACATTATGAACATGTACTGATCACATTTATTACATAACTATTTTTATGAAGTGGCAAACTCAAATAAAGTATATTTATCAAAGACTTCATTTTAATTAACTGATAAATTAATTCAAACTGCACACAAATAGACACATTAATACAGCAATTGAAATAACTTATTATAAGATGACTTAGTCTATTCTTGGTCCTAAAGATTAATCTATAAACTGATCCATAGCACAGTATATTGGCTGGTTTTCAAAGTAAGCCATGTGACTTTTAATGTTTACTATATATAAAAAAAGACAAATTAATTAATATTAGCATTGTCAAGTATAAAATTTTAAAAAAACTTATTACAAATTTTGTGCTGATATTGGTTACAACATCATTGTTTGACATAAAATTTAATATTTTAATTTTATATTTTAAATTATCTAAAATTTATATTACTCATTTCTGATTTTTGACTTACAGCTATTATCATGAATTCTGGCTAATAATATTAAAATTATCTTGTCAAAAAAGGTCTAACAGATCTTGGATCACCTTATTATTTGACAATAAGCCATTTTAATAATTATGTTAATGTATCTTATTGTATACAGCTTAGATTAATTAATATGAATAAATTTTTTTTTTTCAGTATTAAGGTGATCTCTTTGGTTTTAGCTTTTTATTAATACTTATGTCAGATACATGTTTTATATAGATGTATCTATATTAAACTATTAGACAAGTATACAACTGACTATACATGTAACTTTTTTATATTACCTATTTAAAAAATCTGCCTGAGGGTTTCCTACTATTGCCATATCTAACACCTCTGCTTAGATGTTCTATTTAAACCCTTTAATCTAAACCTAGTATTAATTTCATCAGGTCACAGACCCAGATCTGTTTGCATTTAACTATAGGACTATAATCCTTATACTATATTTATCTTCAAGGTAAATCTACCAGAGTGAGCCATATTTCTTTTTACTGCTAACCTGGTTTGATGCTATGACCAAGACTAACACTTGCAGTCAGGGTTATCTCTTAGACTGCTATTATCCTTATAAAGTTCATCCAAACTCTGGTACCTATCTTTTCGACTTTTTCATCATCATTTCCTACTAACCACAACTTGGAACTAACCAGCTTCTCAGACTTCCAATCCAGATGGCCCGATATAGTATACTTATGTATTTTTTTTCTCTAGTAATTTTGACAATCTGGTTGGTCATGTGTTCCTCTATACATCTTATCATCTGGTTTATCTGACAGTTCCTATAAAAGTGTTTCATGAGCTTCTATCGGTCCAATAGCATCATCAAAAGTTTGTGCTATCTTTTTATTTAAGATTTCCAAGTAGGTTTCTATTTTCTCAGTTTCTTAGCCTTCTACACTTAGTGATCTTATCACAGGTTTGCACCAAAACCTTATATGACATCAGTTTTTCATATTCCTCTATGTACATGTAATATTACACTTCACATAAATGCCCTGAGCTCTCAATGTTAAGTGGGCTCAACTTGATGTACCTAAGATTACAGATGTCCAAAACCCAACCGATTGGCAAGAAACAGTTACTATAATACAAATATAATTTCCAAAATTCATCATCTATGAGAATTGAACCTTAGACCTGCCACTTGAGGGTTGACAACTTATCCACTTTACTAGATTGCTACACCCCTTAATATGAATAAGTAAAGTAAAGTCTTTGATAATTTATTATAAAAAATGCAATTTTGTTAGAGTTTGTTACTTCATAAAATAATTATGTAATAAATTAATATCATGTAATCAGTACATGTCTATAATGTGAAATATCATCTGATTGGCACGTGTCTGTAGACTCTTCACCCATATGGAATTGCAAATTGTATGATTTGATTGATTTAATTAGCTAATAATCACATGTAGATCTACAAATTAATCTATGAAGCTAGCCAATCAGACAAATTTCTGCCTATGAGGAATTGCCATTTTTCATTTTTTGATCAAGGCTCCCCAGCTAAAATTACAGTACCTGACCAAAGTCAGTCAATTCAAATATATTTAACTTCATTGTATATGCTCGTGATTATGCAAGTTTCAGAATTTTGCTCGAAAATTTTGTCTACTTCATGCATTGTAGCTATTGATATTGCATTCATCTACATTGACCCAATGTATTCTCTCCGAATGTTGTAATGAAATTGATATTTTTAAAAAAGCAGGCGATCACAGGTGTGGTATCTGAAAGCAGGCCGTAAGTGCTATTTCTTCCGAAATAATAGTCTTAGAAAAATTTGAGTCAATACTGTATCACATTATGCAAATGACATATAAAAATATATACGAAATTTCCAAATACTTCGAGATTTACTAGTTATATTGCTGTATGTTATGATGGAACAATGATATTATTACTGTATTCAGAGATTACAATTAAAAAATGCACGCGCGATCTATTGTATGACAATCTGATTGTTTGTATAAACTATAATAAGGTGACAACTTTCTTAAAAAAAATTTGTGCAACTTTTTGTCTGAGCAAAACTTAAATAACATAAGTAACCATGTCTACTCTTCCTACAATTGATGAAACAAAAAAATGAGATACAGAAATGATAATCAAATTTTTGGCGAACAAAACTAAATCTTACGGAAAGTGATTTCGAATTTTTTCATAAACAACGTATTTAAGACCAAGAATTCCTTGACTTGAATCAGGAAGAGCTTCAAGGTGGATTGGGACTGGGACTAGCAAAAAAAATCGTGAAATTAATTAAAAAAATCAAGGGTGAGGACCAGGGTAAGTAGTACTACAACTGCATTCGAAGACACAAAGTGTTGAGTCTCTGACTCATATTTTAAACCTATACTGCTTTCTCTACAATAATTTCATGCGATTTCATCAATAGATGTACTGAGTCTTCAGAAGCAGAGATTGTATAATGAGGTGCTAAACCTGTGAGCAAAGCTTGCAACCTTGTAAGAGAATCTTTTTATAGTATACAAATTGTTATAGTAAAATGATTTCGATATAACCAATAATGTTTGCAATGCAGTTCTTTATCGGCTACTAAGCGACATTTTTCTGACTTGGATAACTATGAAGAAAGGTTAGTTGTATAGTATATTTTGCTTTTATAAAATTCTTGTCATTTCAACTAAACTTTTTCGATCTTTACAGAACAGCAAAAAACGTAAAGAAGATTAAGAGCTATCCTTTCTTGTTATCTTTTGCACCTCTTAATAATCTTATTGACCATCATGTTAAAGACAAGCAGTTACTTATTCACTGTCCTCCAGAATGCATTGGCCTGCCAGTGCAAATTTATTACGACATTTTTAGTCAGTTCCTGCGTGATTACCATAATGAAGATCTAGAAACGAGAGAGCATTATGAATGGACCCTTGAGTTCATTAATGGAATGGCTGAAATATACTGCAGTAAACGTGAATGTCCTATAGTGTTTAAAGAAAAATTCGTAAACTATTTGGTGAGGAATTAAGAATAATTAGCCTGGAAGATAATTCTTCAAATGATAGTGTATTGGAATCTAACGTCTTTTCAAAAAGTGTTTTACACTTTCTTGTTGAAATGAAAAATGAAATTGGTACTAGTAGCTGTGATCCAACTATTCAGGCTAGTGCTTCTTTTGCAAAATATTATACCCAAGAGACATATGGGGAAGTACTTAAATAGTGCAACTGGCCATCTTTTATCTTGTGCTTAGCTGGACCATGGGTGTGTATTTTAGGGGCAGTATATGTTGAGAAACCCATTATAGATCCCTTGATGGACTTTATACCTCTTATTCCCACAAACAATCGAGCCCATACGAAGCGAGTGGCATGACTTTTCAAAGCTTTGTGCTTGGGATTCAACAGGCTAAAAGAGTATTATGTATCGCTAGATATATCTACAAATCGACAAAATTTCATACCGATTTTTTCCCTATCTGAATCAATACAAAACCAAGATACAATCATAGAATTTATATATGAAGAAAAACTTGTTGATCACAAGCTTCTTTGAAGAGCTATAACAAAAGGCGGGTGAAAAATTATTGTTAAGTTTGCATGGCAGTATAATTGTAGAGCACACGAACTATGTAGCGAAATTGGAAAAGCACCAAAATTACTCTACATTAACAAAGAGATGGTGAATGGTTTCTATATGGTAGTGATGGATTATGTTGAGGCCAAACTACTTTAAAACTGTAGCTCACTTAGTCGTGATGAATATAAAATGATTTTAAGAGATGTCAAAAAAGCTATAGACAAATTACATAAGGAGAATATTGTTTTTGCTGACCTCTGTGATTCCAACATTTTAGTTAATAAATCTAAAGGTCAGTATTAAGGAATGTTAATAGATTTCGATTGGGCAGGTAAAGAAGAAATCGAGTGCTATCCAACTTTCATGAATCATAAACATATTAATTGGCTACCAGGGGCTGAAGATAGGAGGAAACTGAATTGTAAACATGATGTTTATTGGTTGGAGCTGTTGAAATCTAAATACTTGGGTGAGAATGTAGACCTCGAATGATTAGTTGGTATGGTGTTTGAGGATAAAGTGAAAAACAAACAATTATGTATAATAAGTTGTGCAAGTTGTGCATACATTTGTTTTAATGATATAATAATAAACAAATCCTTGAGTTAATCATATTTATACATTTTGGGAATATTGAATGCCTATCTCTCTTGGTTTTATTTATGAGAATTAAAATATACCTGTTCCGTTGATTATGAACTTCGGCTGAAAATTTTAATTTTCAATTTATTATAGAATTTATTTTGAGGGTAGAAATTAGTCGAGTGATCTTAATATACATATTTATTACTTGATAAAGTATATTCTCCAAGCCCTTATAATTGAAAGTTATTTTAACGGCATTGATATTAGCAAGTCAATAAATAATAAAATTTACAGTGTTTTTAGCAATGATTGAGATAGAATTTATGTGGTTTATTTTTTGCTGTACAATAGAGCTGGCTCTGGTGGCTAATTTTGTATATATAATCATGTTTACTTTTGCATGTGTATTTCGTGAATTTATTTTATTGTATTGTATATGATGTATCATAAGAGCATAAATTAATAAAGTTAATAGTCTCTGCTAATCACAAACTACATTGTAAAAATAAAAAATGATAAGGGCATAGAACCCCCTTCTTTATTTAATATTTTTTTGTCGGAATGACAATATACAGATAAAAAATATTATTACTACTTCATATCATTATAACCTTCATCACCACCTTGGTCATTTCCTTCATCAAAGATGAATTTGAACACCAGGTCTATAGTATATTGTAACTGTACCATTCTTTATAGTAGACCCCAATTATTATTAATTTTTTCTAGAGCTGTTTGACAATAGCACTAGGATGTAGGATAGATTTTCTGATCATGTGATATCTGGCCTAAAACCCATTTCGGAAATTCTTGATTATAACTGTCTGATTGGTTAGTTTTTTAGATTGATTTGCAAATCTACACGTGATTATCAACCAATTAAGTTACATAACATTTATTTGTTATTTTACAATATTTACAATACTAAAAATGAAAACTTTTAAGAAAAAAGTTTATACGAGTCGGTAATAACACTGACTATATATACATAAAAGGTAGGTAAATATATGTAAAGAGGAGTAAAAGCAGTGTTCAACTACCAAACAATATATTTACGATCTATAAACCCAAACTTAAAAACCAACCAACCTAATTTAATAGTGCTTTAACTCTAAATTTCTTATTGCTAACACTGCTAACACTTATTCTACTTCAAAAACCAAATCTAAAATTCTGATCTCTAAAAAAAAACTGACTATTTTGTTAGTAATTATTTTTTTTAATGCTTATTAAAATTCCAACAAAGTTTTTTTTCTTTACCTAGTTCAAAAAGTTATGTCTAAGCTAACTTCTCTAAATAAGAGATTATAAAAAATTAAGTTTATAGTTAACATTTTAGCTAAAAATAATATTTGTATTAATTTTTTGTTTGTGTAATTTTATATTCATAAAAAGTACTTTAAAGTATATCTAGGCAATTGATTATATTAGTCAATTAAACAAATTTTTGTCTATGATAATGTAACAATATATAGCATAAAGTTTAAAAATAATAATTTAAAATATGTACATAAAATTACACAAGAACTATAATAAAGTAATACAAAATCTGACTTTTTTTATTTATTAATGAATACAAATATAATAAATACACAAAGATTTGTAATTTAATTTTGCTATAAAAAATTTAATAAGAAAATAAGTAAATTTATATAATAAATTTATATAAACTTTTAAAATTAAGTAAAATCAAACTTTAATTAGAATCAATACTAGTATATATTACATTGTAAATTTGAGTTACTATTTAAACTAAAAATAAATTACTTACAGCCTAGATTAAATTTATGTAAAAAACAAATTTATTATAAAACTTGAGTTTTGTATATATGAATATAAATAATATTTATAAACTTAATTATCTATGTATATTAAAATTTTGAAACTTTACTATGTTTTTCAAAATAACTAATAATTTTTTTCTAATTTAGCTGAGTAATAAGTTCAAAAAGTAAAAAAATTAGTATAAATAAATTAATAAATTTAAATATTAAAAAATTATGGACTAATTTTCAATATAATATTTTAATTATACTAGTATGAGTATACAATTTCTTTCTAAAATTTAATAAAAAAACATTTGAATTGTATTTGAAATTTGCTAAGACAAATTAACATTAAGGCATTAGCACAAATAAGTTTGGTAAAATGTTTATGCATAACAGATTGATTATTTCATTTTTTATTATAAAAATAAATAATGATAAAAATTAGTTATTTATATAATATAAATATTATAATTTATATTGCCTATAATAGTCTTATATTGTATTTTAATCTTAATTAAATAAAACTATATTATTGATAATGTGATCTAATATTTAAAGTAATAAAGGTACTAATCTAAAATGTAAGTAATTAAAGTCATAATTAAGAATGTAATAAAGCTAAAGCCAGTTGGTCTGAAAAAGCTTATATTAATGACTTAATAATATAATTATAGTGCAATCTAAAGATGCTAATTTAAAAAAAAATTTAATTAAAGTTATAATTGAGAATAAAAAATTTAAAGCCAAATTAAAAATAAATAAAACTAAAATTAATTAATTTTTGTTAATGCTGTATTAATATATCTTTAAATATATTAATAATTATATTAATAAAAATTATAAGTTTTATATTCTTAATACACTAATATTAAAGGCAAACAAAAAAAATAAAAATAAAACTATAAAAGCTAAAAATAAAATAAAGTTAAAATTGGCTAGATTTTAATAAGTCTGTAAATAGTGTTAATCTGTAGTTTTTCCTTTAACCACAGTAATAATAGAAGCTGCTCAACTATAGTATGATGACTATAACTTGATAGATTCAATACAAAAGTATACACAAGACTTAACAAAATACAGAGTGATTTGGGATTTTAAGACAGAGGCAACAATAGATAGTATATGAAGATACTAAA